CCATTGAGCTAGGTAGGCTGATAATGAGCTCAAATCCAAGACCAGCAGGACTGTCATGTCAATTGAATAGCTGTCCACAATATCTGCTAGAAATGGGCCATTTCCAAACTCACTGATGACATTTCTGATGCCTTAGCTGGGAAATGCCATGTATGGGAGCGCTGGCTCAATCACCAAAGCACTTACCGCAGGGACAGTGTGGGTCATGAAAAGAGTCAAAGCCCAGCAGGGACTTGGTCCCAGATCAAGGGACGTTAAATGTGAGAAGTTGGACAACTCAAACAGGTGAAAACTGAAACGATTTTTAGCTGGGCAGACATCATAAAGGTAACCATATCCACACATCTATACAATGAAGCTGTGAATGTGTTAGGGATTTTTAGTCATGGATTGATTTTATGGATTTGTTGGTTTTGTGGGGCTTTTTTTAGTATGATTAGGTATAAATTTAATTCTAATTACTCTTGACATTAGTGACATTAATCACCATCACAAACCAAAACTGACAGTTCTGAGATCCAATGGTAGCATCATGGTTTCTAGGTCAATGCTGAAGCTGTCTAATTTCATGGTCAATTGTGAAATGCTGGTCAGCAGGTACAAAAACTCTGTGCCATGAGAAAGAAGCAACATTTCCTTTGCCAACACTATAATAAAAATTAATTTAATAATCTTCCAGATTTCCTTATTTGGGGCAATATGGCTATTTTAAGACAACAGCACTGGTACATTTGCAGTTTTGAAAGGAAGGTGAGCCTAGACATCTTAAAAAAAAAGAAAACATCCTCATCCTAAAGAAGAAACACATACCTTCCCCTCTGGGGAGAGGTCACTGAATAAAATTCAACCTTGGAATTCAAACGGATGGGGCTATTAACAAAACAGGCTACTACTCAGTATGACAAGTACTTTACTCTTAAATCTGAGAGCAAAATTATGGCAGAACAATGCAGCCAATTCTAAGAGGTAGCACCCAACCCAGGCAATTTCAGAGCAGTGCCTCTCAAGAGAGGGTGTCACGTATTATTTACTCTGGAGATGGCTTCTCTTGTGCTTTTGTATTTCATGGGCCATCCTGATTAATGAACCCGCATTAAAGTTACACATTTTAGAAGAACAGGGGTATAGCTAAAACGTGTGGAGTGGTAACACTTTCTTATTTTGTTACCTCCCCAAATATTAAACTCTCTCTTGAAGGAAAACAAGGCAGTTGCACAAGGAATACTGAGGAGTCAAAGGCAGTGTGGTGTAGCATTTAGTTTGTGTTCCCCTTCCCATCTATCCGTTTTATGGACAGTCAGAATCAGAAAAAATAGAAAGAGGACCCCAAGAGAGGGAAAATATGATGGGGCAGGATATCTCCTTGATAAATAGGATATACTGTTTCAATTCACACATCATTTAAAACTTCTGGGTAGTGCAAGCTCTATCATGTGCAGAGGTAGAGCAGCAGAACACAGAGAAAATTTGTGACCAGCAAGATTAATCATTCTGATGCATTACTCTTAACCAGCACATGATCCTCTTTCCTTTGAGGTCAAGGCCATGATTCCATCGATATCCAGTTTGGCTCTCAGATCACCCATCCATCCCAGTTAAGGAGAGGACAACTCCACAGTAAGCATGCAGCTGCACTTCCAGTCAAAACCAAACTTTCTTGCTACAGATGTAAAAAATTTATTGAGCCAACATAAGTGTGAAAAATGTAGTGAGAGATCTTTAGTTATGATAAAATAGTGTAAGTGGGCTGTTTTCTACCTCTAGCAGGACATTTTAGAACTGAGTACCTGCAACTGAAGGGAATGAATGAAGGAGCAAGGAGAAAGAGAAAAACAGAAAAGGTTATTCAATGTAAGAGTTAGACTAAAACATTGTCAACAATGGTTTTTTTTCTGAAAAGCACAAAGTAGACTAAGCAGAGAATCATGAGACCCATTAGAGAAATCCAGTAATGACAGAAATTCCAAAACTGTGCAGATTTATTTTTTGGGGAAATCTGAGATTCTAACACTGCTGTTTATACTGGGTTATCTCCTATAACATCAGCTGGAGTCTGACATGCATCCATCAGTGAAAAATCTAGAATTCCTACATTGTCAGAGCCTAATAGTATTACTCCCAGCAGATCTTTCTCAAACAGTTGTCTTCTATGTGGTTCCAACATACAATAGAAACAATATTACTTTCATGTTGAAACAATTACCTTTTACTGATGATTCTTTATTATTTTAATAGCTGAAACATAACAAATATGATAAATAATTTCTCTGTAGTGCTGCTGAAATAAACTACCGTAATAAACATAAAATTTAGTGCAGTGTGCTACGTACCACTCACTCACAAAGTAATATCCCAGTTGATTTTTTTTAAATAAAAATATCTTGGGTCTCAGTACTTTGCTCTTCTTATAAACCCTTGTGGACAGCTCAGAGACAGGCCATGAGCTTAAAACAGAGTCAGTGTAATTGAAAATAACTGCTGTTTGAGCCACTGAAAATGAGTATGTGCTTAAGGAACAGTTACAAATGTTAGCCTAGAAAGTTTGGTTTGGCTAGCACAGTTTACCTTAATATGATGAGTGGAAGGCAGTGGGTAGAATCCAAAGCCACCTATGATTATGATAGTGCTTGTTAAACATTTCTTTTTTATGAAATGTATAGTTTGGTTGTTTCTTACCTCTGTTTTTCTGCTCCCTGCTGATTTACTGCATGCCTTTTATACAGGCAGATGTCTGTTGCTGTGAAAACAATGCTGAGTTTGCAAATTTATTTTGATTCTAAAGTTGAACTGGTTTTAAGATGGAACTTAGCTTCTGAGAAGAGCTAAGGATATGAATCACTATAGGAGAGAGAAGGGGACTATGGGTCATCAGTCCCATCTTCTACAGTCCAGAAGGACTAAAGAATGGCTGCAATGAGTTCTTTTAGCTGAGATGTGCTTAAGGTTATTTATGGTATTAAAAAATATCTCAGTCTTACCAAGAGAGAATAATTTTTAAAATGAATGTAGTCAAGAGCTTGCTACTATCTAAGTTTTGCATTTTTTTTCTCCCCAGACCTTGCAGAAATTCATTGACTACAAAGCTATAAAGTGTGGCCATATTTTTCTTGAAGGATCAGAGATCATATCCTGCAGCCAAAGATCATGAGGAAAGTCAGGCTGATGGTTTGTTTTCCCCATCTAGAAAAAGATGGCCAATTTTTACAGAAGTATTGGGTTTTAGTTGAGAACAACACTATATATTTCACTCATTTAAAGCTGACTCTAACTTCATTAGGAGTTAGCTCATGAAGACTTGCCTCTTGCTAGGGTTTCTGAAGATGGTTCCTTTAAAAACAACACAATGGCAGAAGAGACAGCACAGGAAGAAAAATTTTCAGTTTTTGCTGAACTGCATCAGAAACTAACTCTACCAGGTTCTTAGAAAAAACTGCTCCTTTCTTTGGTACATCTCCAAAGGTTAGTAGGATAGAGTTCAATATACCACTAACTCTTAATTTCCTGAGAGAAATCCAAATGTGATACAAAATGGTATGTAAATAATACTGTGGTCACCAACAGGATGTCGTAAAAAATGTGGTGGTGGTAAAGCTGAGTGTAGATGACAGCTGAGAACAAGCGAAACCTTATTCTCTTGCGTGCATGGAATTTCCAGCTACGCTTTCGTCTACTCAGCAAGCTACACAAGCTACACTGACATCATAACAAACTCCTCTATGCATCTGATTCAGTGTGTTACCTCAAGAAGCATTTTCAGGCTGGTAGCGATAATAATAATAACAATAACAATAACAATAACCTTATTTAATGCTAAAAGTTACATCATCTTGAAACTTTATATAGATGTACAACTGTCACACAATTCAGATTATTTATATACCTCACCTTTAATGCCTACCCTTTTGTTTATGAAATTCCTTAGAAAAAGCTATAAAATATTAAGTATGTAGCTTCCCATTCTTTTTATCAGTTTGGCAATAATGAACAGCTCTTTAGCAAGACATCCAATACACTTCTTGAAAAAAGCTACAGAATGCAACGGAAATTCAAAAATTAACCATAATGTATACCTGCAGAAGTAATCTCTCAAAGGCAAGGAAGTTGTCCCATTTGGAAGTCTGGGGGTGTTTCAAAGTCTGGACTGTGGCCAGTACAAGCTGTAGAAGACCACAATGGTTCTCCAAAGCTTTGAGATTATTTCTGAAAAGCTTAATGTATGAACTGAGCTGTTCTGGGGTGACTCTGCCTGTGGAAAAGAAAAAAGGAAACAGCATTCAGTGGTGGCAAACACCAACCTAAATTTTTTAAATTACAGTGAAAGGGTTATAGAGAACTGTAGAGACTCTCTCCACTATGGGCCTGATCCTAGTTTCGCTGCAGTCACTGGGAGCTTCAGCTGCAGCAACAGGTCAGGACAAAGACTTCATCCATGAATTGTGGCTTAAGGTTTGTAGTATGTCAGGTTTTTAACGATGCACAACAGATGTGGACATAATGGGCAATATAATTTTTTGTTTTCAGACATAGAGGGACATTCATTTAAGCTAAGGAAATAATACTTGACAAGTGCTTCTAAAAAATCTTTCTGTTTTCACCAGAAGTTCAATGGGAATTTGTGAGCCTTTTACCTTACACCAAACTCCCACCCTCTCACCACTTCACGAGGATGCGTTTTTTATTAGTCTTGACTCAAAAAACAGATATAATGTTAGTGGGTCTGTAGATGTCTCCTTATTAGAAACGCATGACAGGCACCATTTGGGTCACACAAACATTACAGAATTCCATCCATCATTAAAGTGCCAGCTGAAGTGCTCAACCAATTAATATTTCAGAAGGAATGTCTTTCAGGAAGGAAGGCAGGCCCATGGAGCTCATCTGCCCTCAGAAAATCATCACAGGCGATCACACATGCCATCAACAGGCAGGGAAAAATTATGTTAAAACATCATCGCAGTTGCAAGTCTATGCTGTGATCCAGTCCAGGGTTGATTCCTGGCAACCTCTGCCAAAAACAAGTTATCTTCCTCAAGAAACCAGACCTAAAGAGCAGGGATATATGAATAGAGTGACAAGGATCCTTTAACAGGACAATCTTTGGTGCCAGGAAGACACTAAGGTGAGCTGATGCTAAGTGGTTCCTGGCTGACACCACCCATCATTTTACTGAGGATTTTTCCATAAAGGAAAATTCTTGTAAAACTGCCTCTGGGTTTTTTCTCTGCGTTTGGTTATATCATCACTTTACAAGGCTCCCCATCTCCCTCTATCCTTTCAGTGTCATATAAATGGTGAATAAATGATTCCAACAGTGAATAAATGCTGAAAGCTCTTTCTCTTATTTTCAGTGATACCAAGGGCAGTCTTTGGAAGAGCATTTAGATTTGGGAAAGCTGCTAAATAAAGCAAAAGCACACAGGCTCTTTATGTGAATTTTAATGGAACGCATCAAACCAAAAAGTCAGCAAATTAACACACAAATCAAGCTGACACCACTCAGTAGGCCCGAGGGCCGACAAAAGGCTTCCAGTTAGCCCACATAGGCTAAAACAGCAACCATGGCCATGTGTGTTTTTAGACTAAACACTGGAGCTTTCAGTCTTGTTTTATTTCTTTTAAAGCTGTGTCAGGCAGATTTACACGGTGATTTGAAAATGTCAACCATGATGCCTTGCAGCATACCTTTGATAATGACTGCATTATTACCTAGAGCAGTCCTGATATATTGTGGAGTGTTCAAAATCTGATAACTTGCTTCAATTGAGAAAACATGCAGTTGCCAGCCTTCCATCATATGAAACAGTAAAATAAGAGGGCTTTCAAGACTTCTGATTTCAATTAAAAAAAAAAAAAATCGTGAGTTTTGTTCCATATTGTTCCTTGTGAAAGTGAATCCAGATGCAGCACTGGCTCAGTTTGAGATCCATTCAGCATCATTTTAGATAAACAATCAAACTCCTTCCCACCCTCAGAGTGCCACCAAAAGAAAGTCCAAAACATATGTAAATATAAGTAAAATCCTGACCTTAGCAAGTCATTAACAAAACTTACATTGGCATTACAGAATCCAGCACCCCATCTGTGATATTTACAATACCCATGGAACCACTCAGACCCAGGGTTTGAGAATTCCAGCCAATTTCTACAGAGAACTCTCCCTGGACAGTTGGCTGATAAATACAACTATTCCAGTAGCTGAGGAAAGGAATTTGGGAAAGTGATTGGTGGTAATCAGCAATTAAATTACTTTTCCTGAGGCCTAAAGCCTCATCACCTTCCCTGCTGCTTGTTCACAGAGGGAGACTTCAGCACAACAGAGTAAATTTAATCTAATCTCAACCCTACCAGCCTTTTGGATTTCTAAAGTCCTTCTGCTGTTTCAAGTTATTTTGTGTTGCAATGTGGCAGACAGGTTCTAAGAAATCGAGAGGAGATAGATTTCAATCACACCATCATATTTCAACAATCATTTCGTTCTTTTAAAGCATATTCTGAGATTCACAGGCAGAAGATGGCAATTAATGGCAGAAAAGACTTTAGTGTAAGCATCTTGTCCTGCTCTCTTTTCTTCCTGCTCCATCACAGTCGTACTCTGCTCCAAACTCTACATCCACACATAGCCAGATGTCTTGTGTGGGCATCAAAGTCTGACTTGTGAGGGTTACATTATGCTGACAAAGCACTGGATAATTTTTTAATTCCTGGATGTGGAAAAGAGAAGCATGACCTCAACCAACCTTAAGGGATTTTAAAATACTGATAAACTTTCTTGCACAACTGCCAGGAATTCCATATTGTCTGGGAAATAACCTTTGCCATTATTACTTATCAAACAGTATCTGTGAAACAGGTGCATTTGTCCCAAACTCTGTCAACTACTTTAATTCCCAATATAGGACTTGATAAAAACAATGTCTACTGAAAGTAATATTAAAACAAAACAAAAGCCAAACACACACACACACATAAAACAACAAAAAAGAAAACCTACCAAAAAAAACCATTTCAAAGCTTCATGCCTCTTGCCAAGTACAACAAAGAGGATAAAAAGGGTAGGTGGTGACTGGGAAGTATCACAGTGAAACTCAAAAGTTAACAGAATGCAAGAGGATGGGGAGCAGAGAAGAAAAACAGTGAGTGATGATGTGAGGGAATTAATTCAGCTAAGAAACTACGCACGGTTAGTTTGGAACAACTAACAGATTTGTGCACTACTGTTAAGGATCTTGGACAACAGAATGAAATAACAGTGTAAGGAATGAAACTGGACATTACAGAAGTAATAGAAAGATGATGGACTATGGACCAGTCTCACTTCTGAAGGAACTGTTCCATTCAAGAGATGCTAAATGTCAGTGTGACAAAGCAGCTCTGTGTTTTAGTACTCTGAAAAATGAAGGATGAAAAGGAAGAGATAACAGGGACTAGGCTAGTCTAGGAAAAAAAAAAATTATTTGTCTCTAAGAAATGGTAAAATTAGCTACCTTATAAGCTGATGTCAGGAGTATGAAAAGCTTCAGGATAAAAGTGCAAGAAAAAAAACACCTTACATGACACAGAAAAGGGGGTTAAAATGCAAAGTACATTTATCAAAGAGTATCATGACAAATTGATATGTAACTAATTAACAATTAAAATTATAATGCACATGGATCTAGCATAGCATTAACTATGCCATAACCATATTTGAGCACAAAAAGACTAGGATTAGAAGAATTGCAAGATACCTAAGAAACACTCAAAAGTAGATGGTAGGTAATATGCAATAGAGAAGTACTAGCATATCATAAGAAAAGTATGTTCATCTGTGGGCATGTACAAATTTACAGTACAAATTTTGGTAATGAACAGTTCCAGAATGGGGGATGTCAGAAGCCTGTGGAACATCATTAACATGGAGAAAAAGCAGAAATCACAGCTGGATTGCTTTGAGCATTGGACTAATGTAAGTGGGATGAAATATAGCAGCATAAAGTGCAAAATTATGGATTTTGAGGCTAGGATAAGAGCATCTGCTGTAAATGAGGAGTTAAAACCTGGAAATGAGAGAAGAAGGAAATAATGTCTAGGCCTCCTCACTGTAAAAAAGCAGGTACAATTTGTACTAGGTGATAACAGGTCCAGTAAAAACAAGGCCATAGAAATGCCTCAGTACAAAGCCTCTCCCTCCTGGAGCACTTCACGAAGCTCCAGTCACTCCCATTCCTGGAAGTTTAACTCGAAATTGTGACACATGCACAGACAGGTTACTGTAGTGATTAGGAGGGCAAAGAACTAAAGTTAATAAAGCAAAATAAAAATGCCTGGCTTATGTAGGCTCCCTGCCCCAGCTGAAAAAGAAAGAGGTCTCTATGAATACATGAAAAATATTTACATTAAGGTTCAATATTGATAGTACAACTAATGGGGATAAATAAAGCATGCATATATTTACACAAGACATTAAGAAATATCATTGTATCAACCAATCTTCCAGTAGTGGAGGCAAAGAAATTTAACTCATTCTAAGGTGAAGTTTGATGAGTATCTAATAAGCAGTTGCATAAATATTCACAAGAATTAATTCAATACAAATGGCCACCTTCAATCCTTCACTGCTATGATAATTATTTGCAAACATACTGGGATATAGAGATTGAATTCCACTTCCAACTTTCAAGAATTCAGGGCAGATCTCAAAAGAACTGCAGACCACTTTTGCCAACTTTTACACTACAGAAGCTGTAGCTTGGTTTTGGTTGTTTCTTAATAATTAATTGAAATAAGTAATTTGCTGTTAAATATGAAAATAGCAGCACTGAATACCAACACTTGCAACATTGTACCACACAGAAAATAACACAGTTCATACTACATGTATTAATGGTGATGTGCACAATTAGACTGAAGGGAAGAAATATTTCTGTTACTAGTAAAGCAGATCATTCAGGATAGACAGAGAAAGTAGCAGAAATTACTTATTAGCAACTGATACTAAAGGTCTGTCAAAAATCTGGTTTTGAGTAGTGAGAGTAGACTGAGTGGAAGAGAAAGACGTCCACCTCAACAGTGAAACAAAATGTGAACTGGACAAACCACATTTATAGACATCAAGACACAATTCAGCAGTATGACTTTTTTTCCATTTTAAACTAATGCTACAGTTTGACTAGTTCAATGCAGGCATTGCTTCAGGAATATAATTATTTTTCAAGATAGATTTACTGGTAAAAGTAATTTTTTTAATTCAAAATCCCAAACTACGTA